AGTTAGATTCTTTCCAAATTGCTTATATATGAACATCTAATACACATTATGAGCTTTACCGGGAATCAGAAATTAAAAGTACACCTTCACAAAAAACGGTCTGCTTTTGTGTTTGAGCTCTTCCTGTGGTTGCTGAGTGAATATGGTCTTTATAAAAAAAAAAAAAAAAAAAACACGGTGCATGTACAGTGCTGCATATATACGCCCGTGTCGATATTTCCGACATTTGACTGAGATGGCTATAGTCTCCTGGCAACGTGGCACGCGTCGGCTGTGTAGCCGCGGCCACCTCTTGGCGGTGAGAGACTTTGGGTGCAGCTGTCGTGGCTAAGTGCCACATTGTGCGCAATTACTCCCTGAAATCAGCAGAGTCAAGCTGCAGGTCAGTGGGGATCAACAAGGGAGGGAGGGCAAAATTGTGGCTTTTCGAATCATCAAGACAGCTACTTTGTTAGACTTTTCTTTGGTTTTTTTTCCAGAGCTATGACAGTCAAGGGAACGCACATATTGAGCGACGTCTTATCAATGGACTGAGGCGGCGACACCTCCAGCTGCTGCTGATGCTCTTTTTTTTTTTTTTTATCTTGTCAATTTGATATTTCAAGCCAAACAACTAATCCTGTGATCTCATCAACTTCTATTACGACTGCAGTTGAAACCAACGGGGTACAAATGTGTGTTTGTGTGTGAAATTGAAAAAAAAAACAAAAAAAAAAAACAAGAACAAAAATGAAAATTTTAAAAAGCTCATTGTGCAGTTTGTGTAAAAACATGCGAATGCATTCAAAAAATCAAATAGCTAATTTGTCCGGTATGCGCACATTTATTTACGAGCTACACATCAAAAGGCGTCGTCCAATTACATGCAGCAGCTGTTATGATGATGCACTTTACAACTACTAGCGCTCCAGTCTCCTGCATATCGAATGAGACGTGATTGCAATCGTTAATGGCGCTACAACGATGCAGGAAATGGACCTGAATGGCCCCGAGATCCCCTTTCAAGCACGTCAACAAAACTGAAATATTTACAGGATATTGTTCTATTAGCTTCGCTCGCTTCCAATCGACTGAGCTCGTCTTTGGATCAACAGCATGATGAGTTGAGTTGCACTTTAGAAAAGCCATTTTCAAAAAAGTAACCATAGGTTACTCGAGTCAAAAAAAGACCCCAAATGGAGAGGTAAAAACAAACAGACGAGATAATGTGACCGCGCAAGTGTGCACTCTTGGAAGAGGGGGCGTAGCTTGGACTGCATCCAAACTCATGTTAAATGCCTGCCATCATTTAAAGTGCATCTGATTTACGCAAAATAAAGGTCAGATTTTAAAGGTGTCTTTCCCTGATAGATAGTTTTTTTTTTGTCGTCACATCTTGCAGCACGGGGCATGGTCCACAGAGCGAGAGAGACAGAAAATCAGTGGGATCTCATTATTCCAAGTACCAGTCGGGAGGAGGGTACTCTTTGGAACACAGTGAAGACAATCATCACCAAGTGGAGCAAATATGGCACAACGGTAACATGACCAACAACTGGATGTCTGTCCACAATTGAAAACTGGTGAGAGGGCTGGGAAGACATCCACATTGAATGAGTCTAGTACTGACTGCTTCAGGCTTTAGTGGCAAAGTAGGTGTGTTGTCTTACAAAGAACATCCGAACCTTGCCACATTCTGTACAAACACAGCGATGAAACGACATTTGTGATTTTTTTGGCAACAAAGGGTTTGGCGCAAACACAAACGCTGCTTGTCGTCATCGCCTCCCATGAAGCAGAATGGCCATCGTGCTTTGAGGCTGTTTTCTTCAGCTGGTTCTGAGTCCTGAGTCAAGGTGCGAGGAAATTCTGAACAAGAGGTCATTTCCAACTCAATTCATACCATTTGTCTGTATTGTGCTCGTCTAATGTATTGTATGTAGCATCAGCTGTTTTCATCAAAATCTTATTTCAGTTCTTATACTGCTCTACATTGACAGCCGATATAATTGCTCCAAATGCTTCCTTTATCTTTACC